GACTGCTTAATAAGTAACTTACTTATAACTTTAGCTACATATTATTTATTTTTTTTCAAAATAAATAATAAGGAAATAGCATACCTTTTTTATTTTGTTTATAACAAAATGCAAAAGCAAATTCTATTAGATCTTTATTATTTTAATCATGACTGCTTTTAGTTATGTTACCAGATACTATTAATAATTTTCTTCTCAATGCTTTATAATTTTTTGAAACATAAACATATACCTGTATTCAAAATAAAGTTAGGGGGAAAAAAGGTACACTTATCTGACAAAGTAAGTCTGATTTACCTGGCTGGCTTGACAAAGAGGACTAAATGTACTAATCAGATTACATGACATATATTTTTATAAATTAAATGAGTAAAATTTATCTCTGCAGTTTTGACAAAAAACATATTTAAAGCACATTATAAAAATAACATTTTATTAAGAATTATTATATTGGTAAAAGTGCTTTGAAATTAACATTAATTTTATTTTCTCAATCTTTTTGAGAATATTGGGTTAAACAAGGTACTTCTAAAGGAAAGAATAGAAGTCATGTGGTAAATCTTGGTAAAACCTTTTTTATATATTTCCCAGAAAGTGAGGAAGTGAATAGTTCCAATAACTGTGTAATACATTTCTTCAAGTGGTAGTTTTCTTTTTTTATTTGCTTTTGATAAAATTATAAAAAGATCAATCAAGTTAAAGTTGAAATTTGATTAAAAGTAATTTCTGAGAATAGATCCCTTTGAATTTTTTTTTTTGCTCATATCTCAGGAGTGCAAAGAGAAAAGTGATACTGCTAAAGGAAAACTTCTTTGAGTCCCATCCATTTATGCATTTAACAAGTTTTCCCAGTGCTTACACGTATAAAAAAATTTTAAAAACAGGCATATAATTGAGGAAATTAATGAACAAAATTTTTAAAAGCCCCATTCATCTTATGAAGAAATGCATTCCCAAAATATTCTTACTTTTTGTCAATTTATCAAGCTTTGCATTATATTTATATTATTTCAATCGATTGTATGAAACTAATAATTGTCATGATACCAGAAGAGTCAATCAGAAGAAATTTAATACTTAAAGGCTTATACTTATAGGAAATTAAAAACAAATTTATTTTGCTATGGAGAAATCTAATGATACAATCAATGAAAAAACTTTAAGCATATAGTTACATTATTTTAGGATAAAGTTTTGTGGATAATTTAGAAATGTGGTCTAGAGGATAAAGGAATTCCTAGGTATTGGAGAATAATTTAAGTATTTTTAAATGGGTGACTGTATTTATATTCCATCAAATATGTGGTATTTGGTCTCCATTGCATACATTGAAAAAAAGTGACAGAACAGTATTATTTTTAAATGACAATATTTATAAAATGCCATAAGTCATATCTTCTGTGATTATTTAGACTCAGGATGAAATTTTTATATGTCAACTTTAAATCATATCAAGTAACACAGAGTTTTAAAAAGTGAAGTTAGTTATTATCTCAGTGAAAATATTTGAAGACTGTGTAATAATACCCAAGTAAACTATAATATTTCACAGGTTCTCCTAGGAGAGACCCAGCAGAAAGACTAGATTTCTACTGTGAGTGAATCTCTGCCCTCATGTTAAGTCAAGTCCATCAGCAAAAAAAGCTATTTGGAAAATATTTGCTGAGAAGCACTTAAACTCTGGGGTCAATGCTGCATTTGACAGTTTATTCAATGGTCATGACCATGCACCATATTTTAAGACTCACTGAGGTATGACTGAGGACTAGAGCCTGGCCCTCAAAAATTGTGAAGGCTGGAAGATACGATTAAATATCTAACATGGTGTGGGCCTTAATTAAGTTCCCTAATTAATGCTGGTCCCCTTCTCTTTGGTTCCTCTAAGGATACACCACACATTTGCCACCACAAGGTTCACCATGACATGATTTAGCCATATCAAAGGTCAAATCATTTCCTCCAAATCTAACAAACCACGTACATACCTCTATTACAAACAAAATCTTTACTGTTCATCTATTAACTTGGGGATAATAGTATAAAAGTATCTATTTTGATATAACAGATACTAATATCTATGTCACAGAGACATATACATGAAGATTAAACTATATGTTAAGCACTTGATACAGTAATTGGTATGTGGGAGATAACAGTAAATGTGAGTTTCCTTTCCCCTTTCATTTAAATGATATTTATCCATAGTATCTTCTAGACAGAGTTCAAAAGCTTAGTCCAGAATACCTCAAATCAATCTTTCCACCTTAATCAGAAATTCTTTTGTCACATTTAATTTGAAGTTAATTATTTGGTTTATTTAAGTACTGGTAAGAATATACTCTATATACACTACTGTATTGAATGTTTAAGGAGATAAGTAGAAGACTGTTTCCTGACCTTGAGACACTTGGTTGAGGTGATAATATACATGAAAAGTTACATAGGAATGAAAGGCAGGCTGGGACAAACTATACAGAAAGTAAATGTGCTGAGTTTTGAGATTATAGTCGCTGATCTGTTCTTATTTTGTACTCAGGAACTAAAGAATTACTGAGTTATAAGGGAGTTCTAGTTTTATGGCTGAGAAAATAGGAGCAGAGATCTAAGTAGTGTAGGGACACAGCTCTGGAGTGGAAGAGGTTTCCAGTCTTCTGGTCTAAATGCTGCTGGTAGATAGTTTCAACTATATTCAAATATATTAACCAGTTTATGTTTGCTCTTTCAAACCAGGCATTTTGTGTAGCTAGTTAAGCACCAGGTTCTGAAGCCAAAATGTTTGGGTTTGAGTCCTGGCTTTGCCAGTTACTCTCTCAGTGTGACCTATCTGTATGCTTCAGTTCCCCCATCTATAAAATGAGTGTAATAACAGTATCTTATTTCATAGGGTTGTTGAGAGAAGTAATAATATATGCAAAGCATTAAAAACTGTTGTTCTGTCATCATAATTGCTATTCGTCTCTGAAAGAATGGAAGGCAAAAAGTCTAGTCTTCCAATGTTTTTTGTCTTTATCTTATTTTTCATAACCTCTTCTCTCAGATTCTGATCAAAGCATTGAGGTGGGTGTTTATAAATACGTGTTATCTACCTTAATCGTATTAGATAAAAACAAGTTTTTGTATCTCAGAAGTGAGATTTGGGATTTGTTTTAAGGTTGGCCTAGTTTGGTAACAAGAAAGCCTGGAAAAGTAAAAACTGAGACAGCAAGAGATTCTAGAACCAAACAGAGCTTCTTTAAAAAAGACAGTCAAAAGACAGTCTGCATCACTAGATGCAGAGAAAAATGGAGGTCAATGAATCTAATTCTAAATGAGCTTTCCCATCTATTTTACGATCTATTTCAAACTTCCTTAGACAAAATCTAGCCTTTTAAGTAAAAGTGCAGAGAACATGCCTCTGTGGGCTTGCTTTGAGAGACTGTTTTAGCAGGTGCTGCGTTCTACCCTGGAGGTGGCTGCAGTAATCTGTGAACTAAGGTGACAGTATTGACTCCTTTCAGAAGAAAAGATGCTGTCTTTACACAGGAAGTTTAATTACAATGGCACTACTTGAAACAAGGAGGAGGAGGAGGAGGAGGAGAGGGAGAAGGAAAAGAGCGAAAAGCAGCAGCGGCAGTGCCGCTATCAGCCCAGTTGCAGCTCAGTTCAGTGTTCAGATTAGAAAAAGCAAGCACCATTTTTTCCTGGAGCAACCTTCTTTACGCTCCTCAAATGCCGGCTGAAAAAAATCTGGGACGAAATACAAACTAATAGGGCTGTCGCATAATTAGGAATGGGGAAAGCAGGTGGAGGTGAGAAATAACCTGTATTCAGGGGTTAGAAAAGTCATGGGGTTTTTCTTTGGGGGCGGGGGGGGGGGAGGAGGGGAGGGATTTGTCATCCTCTATCAGGAAATCCAGAGATGGAGAATGGTACCAACCGGCGATCCAAATCTGCATTTGACAGATGCAAATCACATTTCCCACCCCCACCCTCGGCACTCAGGCGCTATCAGGGTAAAATAAGCATCGAGGGGGGAGAAAAATAACAGGTCGGCCTAGGGTTCGTGTGTGGGAGGGGGTTCGCATCAGCAAAGGTGGGAGAATTTAGGGTTTCCGTCAGCGACGAACCCCAAAGTTTTCAGTCGGAGCCACGGGGTCGTATCTCCTGGTACCCCAGTATTTGTCCTGCACACACCCTGTAAGTTTCTCGGTTTGAGCCTCGCCCGTAGATTCTCAGACCGGACAATCAGTTATTAAGCGTTTTCACAGCGCAAAGCTCAGAGCTGACCGCTGAGCCAGTTCTCAACAACATCTGGGAGCAAAAGCAGCTTTTGAGGTTGGAGACATAAGGGCACTGGTTTTATTTACGTTAGGGTGTGGTCCTTGTACCAACTGCCAGCAAAATTTTTCCAATCACCCTCGGTGTTCCACCTTCTGCCCAGGTGACGTCGGGAAGTCCCGCAGGACTGGCTAGGGGATAAGCGGTTAAGCCGCGTCCTTCAAGTGTCAGACTCGATCAGTTTGGAAACCACAAACCCCAGAATCCCTTGTGCAGGGAGTTCAAGCCACAAATAAGATGGCTCCAGAAGGGTGGAACATGCCGCAGGGTGGAAACCCGAGTCCCTGGTAGTTTCTTTACCGGATGTGTTTAAATAACCGAATCCCCACAAATGCACCACCCCACTAACCACCTTTGAGGCTGAAGAGGCCACCGCCACCGCCTCGCTGGCTTCTCCAAGGACATCTTGGGAATTGTAGTCCAGCCACTGGGCTGTGCCGAACTACCTTTCCCGAGGTGCCCTGCGGCTCGGGCGGTATCAAAGTTCTTCTCCAAAACTCTCTCAGCACCGAGACCCTTCTTTCCCCGGTCCCCTTCCTTCTGACGACTCTTTCCCATCTGTCCCGACAGAGAGGCGGCTGTAGGAGGGCCCCGGCCCGTCGCCACCGCAAGAGGCACTTCCGGCGGCAGTTCACTTCCTGGTTGGGTGGATGGAGCCAAGCGGGAGCGCGCGCGGGGGAGGGGCGGCGGGTCAGTCTCCGCCGGGCGCTCCGGGGATCAGCTGGCGGGCGGGCGGGTGCCGTACGCGGCCCCGGCTCTCGCTGCTGCGCCGCCTCCTTTCCCCGACGCAGGCAGGCCTGGCGGCCGTGACAATGTTGCGGGGCTGGTAGCTGGGCGCCGGCCGTCGAGCCATCTCAAGTGGGTGCCGCCGGGATGCTGCCTCGCGGGGCGGTGGGGAGACCTGGGAGGAGCGGGACGGAGGTGGGGGGCGGCAATGCCCAGCTGAGTCGGCGCTGCTCCAGGCGGCCCGAATTCCTCCTTTTTTTTCCGAGCCCCGGGCATGGGGTCCCAGGTTTGGGGGCCGGGGACGCGTTTTCAGCCCCAGGGTTTTTCTTGTTAAGAAAATGCAGGAAGCGTTTCCCCAGGTTGATGAGCTTTGCTCCCTGTAGGACTCAGCAGTTGAATTTTTAAGTGTGTTACTGATTCATCCTGTCTCTCTTCCTCTGTCATCACAGGTTTAAACTTATACGAATCGCTCTTTTGAGGAGGAGGGGACCGCGGAGGGATTGACACGCTTATTCCTATAGGCATCCTCCCTCAGCCCCCACCCCCACTGCCGGATTCGGGTGGCTCCTCTCCGAACTGAAATCTGAGAAGAAATCCTTGGATCTCTTGTTTTCTTTAAAAAAAGAAAAAAAATCTAGAATCTGTCGGTATTTTGCTTTACTGCTTCCTATTCGCAAGATGAAGAAGTTTTTCGACTCCCGGCGAGAGCAAGGCGGCTCTGGCCTGGGCTCCGGCTCCAGCGGAGGAGGGGGAAGCACCTCGGGCCTGGGCAGTGGTTACATCGGAAGGGTCTTTGGCATTGGGCGACAGCAGGTCACTGTGGATGAAGTGTTGGCGGAAGGTACAGTGGGATTCTAAGTGCGCTGTAAATGAAAATCTTGGGTTGATGCAGCAAGATTCTGGTTTCTAGTTGTTGAATGTATGAATGGATTTTGACCAGTTAACACTCCCTTCCCCTTTCCGTGCCCTGTGAATCAATGTCCTTGAGAAATTTAAAACTGAGATTTGGAAGTGACAGGGTTTATGGGGCAGGGGGAGGTTGCTGGACATTGTTTACCTCAGTGGTCTTTTATTTTATTTTATTTTTTAAATTGACAGACCAGATCTTGAGGATCAGATGAGAAAAACCTATGTGTGAAAGTATGAAGCTTTACATCAATTGTAGAGTGGTGGGCTTGTCATTCTCCTAAAACTTGAAATAATTGATGTGAGGGCTGAAGAGAGGGGTTTCTCCTTCTCTTTCTTCGACCCAACTTTCCCATTGCCATGAGCAGGCAGTGGAAGGAAGAGAGGATTTTCAGAGAATAGGAATGTTTTTCTAAGAGCTAAGGCTCTTGGTGGTTTTACAAGGTTTCCTGATCCAACTGTAATCAGGTCCCCAGGATGTAGCTAAGATAACAGAAATTACATGAAATGAATGTGCTTGTTTTGAAATCAGTCAGTAGGCCCCCTTCTTTCTGTTTAGGGTTTTTTTTGTTGGTTTTTTTTTTTGTTTTTGTTTTTTTAAATGCTGAAAGAATTAGTTGACAGTGGCATCTGATTTTTGCTTTTTCTGTTTTGGAGACATTATTTAGATATGTCGTGTTTGCTGTGTAAATTCCATATCTAAATCTATATTTCTATTCCCCAGACCTTCTGGAAATCTTTGTATGTCTCTTTGGTAACCTTAAACTCGACCTTCACAATTATGCCAGACTCATACTTTTTACAGCCCATTGCCTGTGTAGGGTGCTTTTATTTTTTTTTAAAAGCAGCAATTTCCTTGGCATGAAGCTGTTCAAACTAATTGGATGGGGCCACCCTGCTCTAGGTTGTGTTATCTGCTGTGAGGGGGTGGGGGAAGGGAGAGGCCTCTCTTACTGCAAATGGTGGTGGACCTGTTTATTAACTGGGGGAGGAGACTTTTTGTAAGCTAAGGTTGGAGCAAGAGTTCCAACCTGGGCCTGGGAAATGCCTGCGGGTAGGTTGGGGGGAAGAAGGAACTGTGGTTGGCTCTCAGCTTGTCTAAGCAGTGGATTCAGCTGGGCCCAGTGTTCTGGGGTTAGGGTTGAAGCCTTTACTTTAAAAACACTGTTGTTAAAAAGATCTGACAATGAGAAAAGAGAAAAGTCCTTGTGGAATTATTGCTCTTTTTCCATTTTCAGTGCTGTTCTTGCTGGACTTAATCTGAGGCCTGAGTCACTGTCCCTCTGGATCTGTCCTTGTGGGCTTTGGTGCAGGATGGGAGATGCTTCTGTGCCAGCTGCCAGATCCGCACCCTTGAGTCTGATCTGTCTCTTTCATCCCTGTGCCAAAGCCCTTGACTGCAGTGGGATGGAGAAATGGAGGAGAGTGTGAAAGAGAAATTGGGAGGAATGATGGGGTGCATAGCTCTTTCCTTTCCTCCCAATGGCCTCTGCTGACCTAGGAGCATTTTGTTCAACTCTGATATTGTCTCACTGTAGACAGTGTTACCCTAAGTGGTGCCTATTCTCAGAGTCTGAGTGATGGGAAAGAAAAAAGGTAAAATTGGTTTTTGTTATCTAGGTGGCTCATTTCTTCCCCAGAATTCATCCCTGAGAACTGCACATCATACATTATATTTTTAAGTGAAACTTCGGGCTTGTAGTTCTGCATTGATTCATTCATTTGTTCATTCAGCAGTTATGGAGTGTCTGTCATGTGCCAGGTACTGTGCTAGGCTCTGGGGATATGGTACAGAACTAGATGCCGAAGTTTACAGACTACTTTGAGAGATAGAATATAGCCAGTTAGAATGAGTGATATGTTCTATCATGGAGATAAAATTGGGGATGGCCCCCAATTTTAGAGTGCCAAGAGTTGCTTTTTGCAGGAAGTAATTGGCTGAAGAATGAGTACGAGTTACCCAGGTATTGTGAAGCATAGACAAAGACTCAGAGTAACAAGAGAGAGTCTCATGTAAAACCAGGTATGTCAATATTGCCCTCTTTAATGTTTTTTGAGTAGAATTGAGTTTGAGTTTGTGGCTCTTAGACATGTGGCTATGCAGGAACCAATGTACAAAGTACTTGTGTAGCATCTAACAAATACAAAGGCACCACTAGGTTCTGAGAGGGATATGGGGAGATCTAAAGTGTAATGTCTGCCTTTAAGGAGCTGTCAGTGAATTTGAGAGCACGAGGCGAACATTCACACATACAACAGCATGGTTACCAGCACTGTAAAGTCAGGCATATCTAGGTTCAAATTCTGGACCTGTTCTTTACCAGCTGTGAAACCTTAGATGAGATATTTTAAACCTTTCTTGAATCTCTGTTTTCCTGTGGGCAGCTCTTAAAGTGTAGAGCCTGGATCAGGAGCAATATCTGGGAGCTTGTTAAAAATACAAGTTCTCAGGTCCACTCCATAAACCATGGGTATAGGGCTTTAACAAGTTCCTGGAGTGATTCTGATGCGAGCTAAAGTTTGAGAACCACTGCCCTATGGAGTGGTCTTGAAGATGATATGAGGCAATGTATGTAAATTATTTAACATTTGCTTCAAGTGTTCAATAAGTGGTAGCCCTTATTTACCAGCAACATTACATCATATATATAGGTAAGGGGGAGTAAGGGTAGCAATGCGAAGGCTAATTTGACTACAGCAATCTTCAGGAATTTTTTTCTCCCATTGTGGGTAGACAGAGCCAGGTGTTCTTTGCAGAGGTGTCATCAACTCCTTAAAGGGTCAACAGATGTTTTGGGTAGTCATGCTTCTTCCTGGACCGTCTTCTGTTTGAAGTGTCTGGTGCTGACCTGGCCACCGGTCCCAGCCAGAACTGTCTAGGTTGATGAGAGTTGTGCACCAAGAGCCCAGGGCAGTGGCCAGGCAGTTCAGGGAGGGATGGTGTGGTGGGCTTCAAACACAGACCTTATTACCACTGCATCTCACCAATCATCGCTTTTTCCCCTAATGTGGGTATTGGTCTATGCTTTATAGTGAGGAATTGCAAGCATCCCAAGGAGAAGATATTGAAGTAAGACAAGAGAATGCCTGGGCTTCCATTGGCAACGTCAGCTCTGCTTGCCTAGCTGCACTAACTAGTCTAGTTGGGGCTTGTTTGTCTTGGGGAAATGGAAGCTCTAAGTCGTAAGTTCAGAGGGCTATGGCTATCTCTAGGCTGGGTGCAAGGAAGGATATTTTCTCTTTAGCTTCCTCAGCCAAGATGCCACAATGAGAGACTAGATCATGTCTGATGAGATAGGCATGTGAAATCAAGGGAAGATTTGGTATAAGCAGGCAGAATGAGCTCAGTGGGAAAATTGGACCACTGCTTAAAGAAGGACTGAGAAGCTCTGCTCTTATCATACCTCCTTAGCTGTATGAGGCCTTATATCTAGGCTTTAAACCATAAATAAATGTTTGTTGAATACGTGCTATGTTCAAGACAACATTCCAGACTTTCAATTCTATATAAGGTGGACAAGGTGGCCCTTCAGAACAGTTTCTCTCACCTGCACCAAAAAAAAAAAAAAAAATCCAGATCTAGGGCTACTGAGAACTACTGAGTAAGTCTTCAAATCAGTAAACTTTGACAATTTCTTCTATGTATAGGACAAAGTAATGAGGTTTAAAAATGTGTGAAATTGCCTAAAAAAAATCAAACATATGTACATGACATGTATAATTATAACATGGTGGTGGTATCAATATATAGCATACATGTATTCATTTAATGTATGTTTGTTAGTGCCTTCTTTGTGGCAGGCACTGCATTAGGTTATAGAGCTACAAGATGAATGGGATTTGGGCACAGCCCTTGTGGAGCTCATAGACCAGCAAATAACCCTAAGATAAGTGCCTAGCATTTGGCATGGCCCTTGGTGGATATTAGGTGTTAAAAAGACTGTAAGAGATGATAAAGAGAAAGGGCTGGGGGATGAGGGTTTTTAGATGAAGTGTGCCTTGAACAGGAATAGAGATTGCCCAGCAGATGTTCCAGATGAGGGTTACCTGAGGTCTTGTAAGTGGAGAGAATGGCACATGCAGAAGTGTGGAGTGGTGAAGCTGTACTCACGTGAGTTCTGGGAATGCTGACTAATTGAGTGTTATCATCTTGGTTAGCACAAGTTTCCCTCCCAGAATCAAGTAAAGAAGAATATGGAAAGGTAGAAGGAAATATTTTTACAATTTGCTCCCTGGATGTGCTTGCTGCTCACTTTCTTCAGTGGTCCTGGGCCTTTTGACTAACTACTGAATAGGTATCCAGTAAGCATTGTGGGGCAAGGGAATGGCTAATGTCTGGGGAAAGAGTGGTCCTGAAGGTTCAAAGAAAAACAGGAAGGCTGAAGCAGAAGCAGGTGGGGAGTGAGACCACTGTTTCAGAAAGGAGTTGCCAGGGGGGATAATGAGGATGTTTGACCAGAGCAGAAGGTATGTTGGAGAGAAAAGAAAAGGAAATAAGGTTATGGAGAGCTTTAGTGCCAGGCAGAGAGGTTAGTTATAAGCATCTGAGGTCTTGTCTTGATGCAAACACCAATTTGATCCCCCCCCCCCCCTTTTCAGATGTCTGCCTGCTGGGAAGTCTGGTTTTTCAGTGGCAACTGCAGATTTTCAGGGGGTGGCTTGTGAATGGTGTCTTCTTCCTGGCTTTGGGGATGAGGACAGTTATAGCTTCGCTAAATATAGCCAAATCTAGAATTCAGAAGTGAAATCCAGAATAAGCAATTGCATGGTCAGAGTCTTTCCTTTGGTCTTCCTAACAAAGTCATGCTCATTTAATGAGAGAAAAGGGAGAAAGAGTTTCACATCGGTTTTAAGTGGGAGAGTATGGGGGAGGCATACACTTGTACCTCAATAGCTAAAACTGCATGTAGAATACACAGGCAAAGCTTGATAAAT